TGAGACTGTGAAAGTAAACATTCACAATGAAAATCGTAATAAAGGCATAAACACATTAGGGTGTTTATTTGATGAAGTTTGTATTAAAATCTGTTTTATTTGTATTGTGCAAAGTATATTTGTAAGGTTTTTGTGCATGTTATTTATACATTTTACAGAGGATGTGTTCTGTGTTTCCGTGGTCTCCAGATTTTGTTCAAACTAGGTAACCTGGCAAGATCGCTCTTCACAAGAACGCAAGTCCGTTCTCTGTGTTCTTGGAATTGAGAAACACCCATCGACTCTAGTCAGGCTAATGTCAAAGGGAGATTACCCAATTTGGCATGTAGAATTTATGCTGGCTGTCTATGAAAGAGAGCATTTTGATTGGCTGTTCAGCTACAACTGAGAGTGTGAGAACAAAGACTGAAGTGGCCAAACTAAGCAAACAGTGCAAATTGACAGGGAACACAAATAAGCCCGGTTGTCATTTTGTTGTGTTTCATATTATTTGCAGACAATATAGGTTATCAGATGTTTTCAGGAACAAATTCCTCTGTGGTGGTGAGTGAGAAGTACAATGAAAATGTTATGTAAATGCTACTTTTTTTAATGGTTTGTACTGTTTGTATGTGGTAATAGTTTTGGTTTCCCTATGTAAAAACGACAATACAGACATCTGTCTCATGTGGTTATGAAAAGATACATCCTCTCACGCAGACACTAAAGGGCGTTACACTCCAGATGTGCCGCTCAGTGCCACAACACGGTGCGCACATGTCGGTTGAAAGTATTGCACACCAAACGCTCACATCCGCATGATATTTAACCTTAAACTATTCAGTTGGCTCTCTGTGGCGCTACAGTGCAGAAGAACAGTGTCCTGAGTCATGGCTGGGCGCTGCGGACAGCTGCCGACTTGCGGCACCAGTGTGTGTACCCTGATAGAAACCTATCTTTAGAATTCTAAAATTCATGGCGCTGCGTGGCGCGATGCTGTGCGTCGCTGAGGGGCGTTTCTGGTGTGTGACCCCCTTAAGCGTACATCCATGAAAACATGGCATACATCTATGTTTCAGTCAGCTGTCATCTGTTTTTTTGTGCTCACGTACAGTTGTTTAGACAGAAACAGACGCAGCCACCGTGTGGCAACACAGACGATTTTCATTACTGTCACAAGTACAGCTCAGCTGCACAGAATTCTCTGTATTATATAATAAGTCCAACGGAGGTGCTGATTCTCATTCCAGCAACGTCACGTCACGTAAAAGAACTGTCCAACACATTAGATACTTGAACGAGAGTGGGGAACCATCATCTTTGAGGAAGGAATGTGTCAGAGAAGAATCTTTGTAATTAAGATCAGTGATCACTTAAATGTCTCAGAAACTAAATAATAAAAAAAGAGTAGAGCTCACAGCTGTCTAATAGTGAAAGTAAGAGCAGTTTAACAGGCATAATGTGAAGGGAACTCAAGGCATTGGGACCAAACAGCTGTGTAGCCAGATGAAAACCACTTATCAGTGAAAAAAGGTTTTGATTTGCTAGGGAGGATAAAGATTGGACTCTGGAGCAAGGAAAGACGGTCATGTGGACTAATGAGTACAGGTTTGTTTCAGAGTGATGGAATCTGGGTGAGAAGTAAGTAATGCACCCATCATACCTAGTGTCCGTGGAGGCAGTGCTACAGTATGACCAGGGGATTCTGCAGTTGGTCAGGTCTAGGTTCGGAAATGTTGAGCAAACTAAGAATGAGGTCAGCTGAATATATTGAATGGCCAGGTTGTTCCATCAGTGGATTTTTCTTCCCTGATGGCTTAGACATATTCCAAGATTATAATGGTCAGGATTCATTGGGCTCAAGTTGTGAAGAGTTGTTCAGGGAGCATGAGAGCAATCCATTTCCAAATGGATTGGCCACCGCAGAGTCCAAACCTTAACCCTACTGGAAAAAAAGAAACGCCCTTACTCTAGCACCTACGCGGAATCTTTAGGATGTGCTGCAGAAGGCTTTACACAACAGTCTGATTCTCCCATCATCAATACAAGATCTTGGTGATGGATTATTGCAAATCTGGATGGGAATAATGGCACATTACACAAGCATATTGGAGGCTACTCAAACTGAAATCCTTTTTATAAATTTTATAAATCTTATAGATTTATTTTATTTAGTTTTATACACTATTGCATTCTGTCAAAAGATAAAAACAGTAGAGTAACCATTTTCAAAAACTGAGCTAAGACTGAAAGGTGGACATGAGGGAAATTACAATGGTTCTCTGCGATAATGACAAAACAACTAAACATTTTGACATGCAGTCTTTACGCAATGCCAAGAGGACAAAGGATTTTGGGGGCACTGACTATTTAAATGAGAAGAAAATTTAGTTTTGACACACGAGTTACAAGTTTTGGGAAAGATATGAGCTTTTCCAAGTGAGCTATAGTGTTGTGCTAAACTGTAAGAATGTTTTGCAAAACAATCTTAGAGTGTTGAGAATGTAATTCCTGTTTCAAGAAATGAGGCAAACCAAATGAGAAAAACTGTAACATCATGTCTGAATAGCAGTGATTACCTGCATCTGTATAAACAAACACTCTCAGAAACAAAGTTACAAAAACTGTTACTGGGCCAGAACCTTTTCAAATGGCATGCTTGTTTCCTATATTGTACTGTAAACATGAATATTAGTACCTAAAAATTCAAAAGGTTCAATTTTGTACTATGTAATACGCACCATTGAGGTACCAACACAGACTCTTTAGGTACCAACATGTTATTTTTGAAAAGGAACCTCTCCAGTGATAGCTTTTTTACCTTTTTTCTGGGAGTACACCCTCTCCTGTGATAGACATGATTCAATAATACAACATTGTGCCTCTGATATAGTAGATAAGAGCCGCTGTTTTACAGACCTTGGCAAGTCAGTTAAATAAACTCACGGAATGCAAATTATTGGTTATTTTGTTGTGAGATTTAAGTCCATTAAACCCTAAAATGTTTGCCAAAAAAAGCCGTCTTTTTTGTTTTTGGTGATCCCATTTCAAGTATAAAAAAAAAGTTTTAATAAAACTTCTATACAATTAAAACAAATGTATTCACCCATTCCATTCTATTTTTGATCAATTGTTTTACGTAAAAATAATGAGGGCCCTAGGATGAGAAGAGAGCCAATTTCAGGAGCCGCAGAGTGACAGTGTGTGTGGCTCATGTTATCAAGTGCAGAGTGAATGCTCTCCAGCACCAAATGAGTGTTGACTTTGGTTTCCAGGGAACACAGAGACTCACAACACTAACTTCATAACAAATATCAGTCAGTCCAGAGGCCCTCACTCCCCCCCTTATAGTGCGAGTGAGGCTGATGGGAAACGAACCAGCCTGTGTTTTTCAGCACGTTTTTTTTTTTTTTTTTTTTGGATAGTACTGTAGTTCAGCATGAGCTAATCAGCTATTTGTACTTAATGTTCACACATGGGTTTGTTCTCATTTTGATTTACTCTTACATACATATACTTTCAAGATGCAACATTATATATATAATATATGTATATATTATATGTAATATATATTGCTGTATCTACCCTCAAACATTCATTGTTTCTTATGTATTTTTTTCACTTTTAAAAATAAAGGTTGACATTGATTATGACAATTAAAGGCAATTAAACCGACAATAGCTACATTTCCATCCACCTATTTTTATGCGCATTTCGGATGAGCGCATAAAAAAAATTGGTTTATGGAAACCAAAGTTGCGCATAAATTTTGAAAATGAGCATAAAAAACATGTGCATAACTTGCTAATAAACTTTCTATTTGATAAGAAAAGGTGCGCATGAACTACGATGGAAACATTTTTACTGAACAAATTCCAGTATGCACAGTATAAAAGGTCTTGTTATTTTGTTATAAGAGATCATGTGATGATATAATCTGAAATGTTGTTTTAGTCATTCTAAAACACCTTAACCATTTCACTGTCAAAAGCATCTGCGCTCCGCGTCTCATGCCGTCACACGCCATAATGCATTTATTGCACTTCAGCATACTGTCTTCTGAATCGCAAGTCATTCATTACATAAGGAAAAGATTCACGCAGCGTCTCCTACCACAGCAAATTCCATTTTTTTCTGTTGATATTTGCTACCAGTTAATCGGGAAGTGACGATTTTGTTCTGTTCTGTTTTTTGTTCTGCTCTTTAATGGGATATTCCTGTTTTGCGCATAAAGTTAATTGGAATTTTGGATGGAAACATGTATAGTTCTACTCTTAATATTCATAGAAACTTTTCATAGTACTAATGTTATCATACTACGTTTTTATAATGGAAAAGGTTCTTTAGTGTTTTAGAAAATTCTACATACTAACGCCAAGTTCAGACTAAACTCAGATTTTCAAAGTGATCATGTCACAGATGTTTTCACACTGCATGACTATCTGGGCAAGCGTTTCATCGCTGCTTTGTTTACACCGCAAGATAGATCGGCGACAGGGGGTTTCACAATGCATGACTTTACAATAGGAAGAATTAAGTAAGTTAAATTAAGTACATAACGAGAAAGAAGCCTTTAATGGGGTAGAAAATGTACATATTTGCTTACCTGGGTTTGAAGGGAATTAGCAATTTCTCCTCAACTTTTTTCTTTGTTTGCCTGGTTATGATATTGCTCAGATGACACAACAGACAAACACAGGTGCTCCTGCCAAACTTACACAAGTAAATGATTAGTAAATTTACACAAGCACCGACTTACCTGTGATTTCAAGCATTTGTCTGCGATTTCTCAAAACCTGGTGGTGAGTCTAAATCTGGGATAAAATCATGCTGTCTGAACTCTGCATAAGACAGACAATGGTGCTATGTACCATTCACCAAAAGGTTCTTTGGGGAACTTCTTATGGCAGGAACCTCTATGGCAAAAATACCATTTGGTTTTATTTTTAAGATTTTTTTCTTGTTTTCATCTATTTGTAAAGACAAATCGTTTAATCTAATTGCATCTTACTTTTTTCCAGGAGAAAATAAAAAGAACCAACAGAACCGTGGAGAAAATAGCAAGAACCGCGGACGAGACTCTAAGGAAAGAGGAGGAAACAAGAAAAGAAAGAACACTAACCGGTCCACCACTGTCCCCACCATTACAACCAGCATGGTGACCTAATTTCATCACAGCATCAGGTGGGCTCACGAAAAGAGAACCTCTGGCTCATCTTCAAGACTGACTGCGACAAGGTCAAAGTTATGCGCAAACATTTTAAAAAGGAATAACGCTGCTACACTTAAAATAAACATGATCAATGACAATGAGAACTGGAGGATTGCTGTACAAAACAATGAACTGTGTGTAAAGCTTGAGGGAACTAAGATGCTGGCTCGGTTAAGTCCCATGCTATTTGCAAGAAGTGCGCGAGTGCATGGTTATCTTTTTGTAAGCCTTTTGTGGTTGGAGACATGTTCCATATGTTCCTCTTAGACCTATCAATAAGGTTTCTGAACCATAGAGGAAACCACAAACAAGGTCTACCGTCCTTACGTTGCTTAAAAAGCATCTAAAACACATCCGAATCTTTTGTGGTTCGCCTAATCCAGCTGTAATCGCATTCTTTTGGGATCTCCTAATGTTTTTGACAGGTAGCAAACAGTCTGGAGTCTGTCTCAGAGTGAAAACGTTCTGTTTTTTGTATGTTTTTTTCTGTTGTTTATAACAAAAGAAGGCACTGGAACTGATATTGTGGTTTACAGAGAGAATGCGGAAAAAGAAGAAACTTTAATAATGATGAAACTATCCAAATATGAAGGGAAATGTGTTATTATATACAGTACCTAGAGACAAGCGCACTTATAACTTACAAGCGGTTTTATTTTTGTTTTGTTTATTGTGGTTTTTTGGTTAGGGGACGACAAATACAGTATTTTCTGCACAGAAGAAGGCAGCAATAATATGAGGAATGTACAGTTTTGACGTATGTGTATAAAAGATTGTGTGCTTGTGTCCGGTTTTTATGTTTGACTTTTTGTGTGCACCTTTATGTTGTAAGTCAATGAGATGAGAGATATTGACGGACTGTTACGGAACACTTATCAAGACCAAGCCATTGAGAATCTAAACCAGCATAATGCTTAAGTTGCATTGTTTAGTTACTATCATTTTTGTCATTGCTCAGTTATCAAGTTTGCAACTGGTTCAGTATATCATATTCATAATGCTTTGCGACATACAATATCAGAGGGAGGAAGGCTGTACATCATACAGTTATTTATATGTAGCTTCCATTCACACTTTTCTCAGTCTGTTTGCATTTCACAGTTTATCCACTTGGGCTGTGTTTTTCCTAAAAGCATTGTGAGGAGATCGTAGAGGCTGTTGGTTCTTATCGTTTCTATGAATCTGTTTATGATGTTTTATGGAAATCTTGGCCAGATCAGTGGGTTTTCACCATATACATACTCCCCTATGGAGAATTATGACACCGAACATGTCAGCTTCCGTTAATCTTGATGCAATATACATATTGTATTATATCAGTCTGTTTCTATAAAAAGCTACAAGGTAAATAAACACTTAAAACATTTGAATTTGTTTATATGTATAAAGAATTCTTTTTGTCTTTTGTGTTTGATGGCCTCACATGGGACAGTTGCAGGACGATAGTCTGGGGCAAGCTGTACGGCTTTATAAGTTATAGATTCATACAAATTATTACAATATTTGTCAGGCTAAACGATGTTTGGAAAAGTTTGCTAATTATTTTGCTTTTGGTTTTCTTGTTTCAAATTCACATTTCATCAGGTTTTATATTTATTTAGATCACACTGCATGTCTAGTCGATGAGTCATGAGTTTCTTTCTTCTGTTGAACACAAAAGAAGACATTTTGAAGAAAGCTGAAAACGTGCAACCATTGACTTCCATAAAAACAAATACTATAGAAGTGAATGGGTACAGCTTTCTAGGTTTCTTCAAAATATCTTCTTAAGGCTGGTACACACAAACAACTAGCACTGACAAAACAAACTGTGTTGTCTGCTCATGTCTGGTTCTATTTGCACCAAAAAGCTGTCCGTGAACACACCAAATAGACAAAGGTCCAATCCCAATTCTACCCCTTTGCCCTTACCTCTACCCCTTGTTTTGTGCGTTCAGGTGAAGGGGTAGGGGTGTCCCAATTTTCTTTAGCTTGAAGGCGTAGGGCTAAGGGGAAGATATTTCAGGACCACACTCGAAACCAAGAAAATTTCTGTCTTTCCGCATCTACATATGGCAGTATCTGTTTTCTTGTTCACAACAGGCGACTGGAACTTCTGACGTGTGTGTACAAAGCGTAAGCAAAGCAGCGTTTAGTACCATTATCACTCAGCCACTCGCGCCAAATTTAATGGCATAACGGGAGCGCTTAACCTAGGTTACTGACAAATGAAAAGTGCTTTAGCATACTTCCGCATAAACCTTGTCATTTTCCAGGGAAGGATTCGCTGCTGCAAGTAAGTCTGATAATTTAATAATCTGTATGATTTGAGAAATGTTTTCAAATTACAGACGGCCTCTTTGTGTTTTTCTTCATGATTGTTTATTTGTTATTAGGGCTGGACAATATTGGAAAAATCTAACATTGCGATATTTTTTTTTATTTTGCGATATTTATTGCAATATGAATACAATTTCACCAGACGACTTAATATATTTGGAAAGAGTTTATAATGTTAGATCTATTGGGACGATTCTGCAGTGGGAGTGCATCTCCGTACAATCTAATAAACAATCTTTTAGGAGTGCCCCGACACATTTGCGATGTAGTCTGTGCTATTTGCAGTTCATTTCTGTATTTGCATGTGTTTTGAGTATTTTTATGCATAACTATCTATAAATACAATCAAGAAAAAATACAATTGAAATAAAGTGTTTTCTGAGTCTAACAGTATTCAAGAACAGTAACTAAATGATACAAATATAAATAAATCAATAAAATTAATTGTAGTTAAGGTCACAAATGGTACAATTTCTTATACCTGAATGCTTTTAAAGACATACAATCACAGTCATTAAAAAGCACATGCAAATGGTTCATTATAATACAAACTCTACATTGCAAATCCTGATGTGACTATTGCGAATGATCACATTGCGATATTGATGTTGAAATGATAGCCCTACTTGCTATGTCACTTCAATCTTGCACTCTGATTCATTGCTGATTAACCAGTCGGAGTGCACTCTTCAGCCGACGGCCTGATTCCAATTTGACACGCTGAAATGGGCCAACGAGCTCTGACGTTAACCAGAAGAGAGACAATGTGTCGACACCAAACCAACTAGCTGGACTGACGAAGCCCAACGGCCAATCATCTGCCTAGTGTGGTGTGTGCTGGCCCTCATGTGTTCAACAGAAAAAAAAATGGTTTGGAACAAATGAAAGGTGAAGGATGCCTTACTAAGTCAAACTGTTTAACATTTTGAATCAAATTAAACTGAATAGTGTGTAAATCTGAAGAGTGGCTCTTAAAGGGCACAATACATAAGAGAATATTACATGATAATGTGATATGCATTATATATGTACTCTTATTACAACCGGATACTGATTCACAGCCTGATGGTTGAGAGGGCTACCAGTTTATCCCTATCATGAATAAAAAAAATGACAATACATCCATAAGTAGGTGAAGGCAAGAAAAGTTTCTTAATCATCATTAAAGCAATCAAAAATGTTTTGAACGTACTTCACAATCATTATATTTAGTTTAGATGGAATAAATATGTTTAGTGTGCAATGTTTATGCACTACATCTGCCACATTGTCATGTTAATACATAGCTTGTGTTGCTTCATTTCCATTCATAAATTCTCTCTTGTGGTCTCATGGGATAGTAAAGTGTCCTTCAAATGCACACTTCAGAATCTCAGTGGAAGCAGTAGGTATTTCTGGTGAATACAAATTTGGACATCCTATACAGTATATTCACTCACCGGCCACTTTATTAGGTACACCTGTCCAACTGCTTATTAACGCAAATTTCTAATCAGCCAATCACATTGCAGCAGCTCAATGCATTTAGGCATGTAGGCAGGGTCAAGACGATCTTCTGCATCTCAAACTGAGAATCAGATCGAAAGGTGATTTGAATGACTTTGAACGTGGCATGGTTGTTGGTGCCAAAACAGCTGGTCTGAGTATTTCAGAAACTGCTGATCTACTGGGATTTTCACGCACAACCATCTCTAGGGTTTACAGAGAATGGTCCGAAACAGAGAAAATATACAGTGAGTGTCATTTTTGTGGGCGCAAATGCCTTGTTGATGTCAGAGGTCAGAAGGGAATGGTCAGACTGGTCCGAGGCAGGCAACAGTAACTCAAATAACCGTTTGTTACAGTTGAAGTATGCAGAAGAGCATCTCTAACTGCACAACACATCAAACCTTGAGGCAGATGGGCTACAGCAGCAGATAACCACACCGGGTGCCACTCCTGTCAGCTAAGAACAGGAAACTGAGGCTACAATTCACACAAGCTCACCAAAATTGGACAATAGAAGATTGGAAAAAACGTTGCCTGTTCTGATGAGTCTCGATTTCTTCTGTGACATTCGGTGTTGGTTCAGAATTTGACGTTAACAACATGAAAGCATGGATCCATCCTGCCTTGTATCAATGGTTCAGGCTAGTGGTGGTGATGTAATTATGTGGGGGATATTTTCTTGGCACACTTTGGGCCCATTAGTATCAATTGAGCATCGTGTCAACACCACAGCCGCCCTGAGTATTGCTGCTAACCATGTCCATCCCTTTATGACCAGTGTACTCATCTTCTAATGGCTATTTCCAGCAGGATAACGTGCCATGTCATAAAGCTCAAATCATCATAGACTGGATTTTTGAACATGACAATGAGTTCACTGTGCTCAAATAGCCTATACAGTAACCAGATCCTAATCCAATAGAGCACATTTGGGATGTGGTGGACCCAGTGATGCATCATGGATGTGCAGCTGATAAATCTGCAGCCACTGCGTGATGCTATCATGTCAATATGGACCAAATTATATTAGATCTCTAAGAATTCTTCTGTATAACACAAATATTTTTTTTTTAAGAAAGCAAGCTGAAAAAGCTGTAACCATTGATTTTTTTATACTAGGAAAAACAAATAAATTAAAGTCAATAGGTGCAGGTTTCCAACATTTTCCATATCTACAACATTTACATATGAACTTGAATGTTTAAAATGTGGTTTGCAAATATTGTTAAATCATTTCTATATGGGACACTCCTTGTATAATGTAATCTGTGTTGCCTGATGAGAATTTATCTATGATATATTTACAGTACAGCAGATTTTCACTGGGGTGGTCCGTGTCACAACACTATTTGGGCGAGAAGGTGTTTTTGTTTGCGTGATTCGCGTTCAGCGGTTGTGGTTCAGAATGTACGGTGGTAGTTGGTGCCCAGGCAAGGCCTGTAAAAGTTGAGACTGAAATAAAAACTAATGATGTGTCATCGCCAGGGGGAGGAGCTTCAGCAGGATCGCACCCTTCAACCACAACAGCCGTTTCTCATTACAGAGGGGAGGGCAGAAGAACGGTAGAGAGTGAACTGTAAATTACACTTTCATCCCCCTTCCTGACCATAAATTCTTGCGCCGGCTCCATGGGACAGAGCTCTCCCTCTTGTTCACCCTTTCTCGCTCCTCTCCCATCCTTTCTCTCCCTCGTTTCATCTTCTCTGGCCTCCCTTCGGACCCCCTCACTGCTTTTATTCTGACACATTTCTATTTTATCAGCTCTTGATTTCTCATTAATGAGGAGCCCCTAAGTGAAACATGGTGTTGGGGGAAAAGGGAGGTGAAAAGTACATTAATGTTCCCTCACTCAAAAAAAAGACTTTTGCTGCTTGTTCAAACTCCTTATTTAAAGAGCCCATATTATGGGTTTTTGAAAATTCCCCTCCATGTAGTGTGTAACACAGCTCTAAGTGAAGCGAAGTATCCAGCTAAGGCTTAAATCTGTAAGAATACAGTGTTTAAAACGGTTGATTCATCTATAAAAGAGTCGACTCATAGTGCTTCAAACGAGTCGCCTTGATACCGACTCATTAGGTGTTTCGCCATGACGTACGAACGAAACCAAGTTATTCACGTGCACGCGCAAACCCGGGAGATTTCAAACCTGAGGCCCCGCCCTCTGACGCAGAAACCCAGACACACACACACACCCACAAACACACGCACACCCACAAACACACGCACACAAACATGCCGGTCGATTGAAGTCACACTGCAGATGGATATATTGAGTCTCTACCCAAAGATGAAACCTCAGCATTATAACCAAGCAGTTGGAAACTTCTGGAAGCTACATGCTACAAAGAATACTTCATCTGAGTTTGTTAAAGGAAGGATCAGTAAAGAGTAACTGATGGACGTCAGGATGGGTTTCTTCCATTTCTCAAGTGTAAGTACGTGCGGTTAAAGTTGTTGCCTCGTTTACTCTTGCTTGCAAATGTATTTAGTTGTGATTTGTTACTTGTAACCGCGTGTACTGTATCAGGTTAACTGGATATTTGATCTTATCGCGTGCAAAGTC